AGTGGAAAAAAGCCAAGGGTGGTCAAGTTAAGACCTGGCACGAGGGTATGAAAACCATAAGCAGGAAACTGGGTCACATAGGTCTTGTTAGGCTCCCTGGCTGGGGACCTCGGGATGGTCGTAACCGATGGTTAGAGACACTGAGTGATATGACTGGGTGTCATAAACAGTGGCGTTCGTCCATCTCCTCAATTTCTTTGCAACCTTACTGGGTGTCATAAACAGTGGCTTTCATGCATCTCCTCAATTTCTTTGCAACCTTATATCACTGAACTTCTCCATTTTCTTTTCGACTCCACTTTTAACTTTCCTTTCTTCTTCTATTCTTCATCCAAATGGGCAGCCAAAAGACGGCAAGGAAAACCGGCGCTCGAATATGCCTGGTTAATGGTTGTTCAAACTGAAAAAATGAAACTGATGTGTGTTGTATCCAAGAAGCTCGCATTTAAGATTCTCTCTTCACCATCCGATTAACGTCTTCATGTAACCCATCCGCGAAGTTTCACTTATGTCCTTCCAGGGACCCTGAGGATACGGCTTCTGGTTTCGCTGGCGTTGGCGTGGCTCTCAATGAGAGAGCTGAAGCCGCGCTCCTAGATTGGCTCCCAGTCGAAGGTAGGTTATGCATAGCGTAACTTAGAGGCTCGTGCAAAGTAAGTAGTCGTCGTTCCGAAAGACGCAACTTGTTTGTTGTCTCAGCGGACGCATCCACGAACTGTAGCCCAGATGAAGTCAAAGATACTTTCTAACAAAAGCTACACGACCTCTTTCCCAAGGCAAATCAAGTCAAGTAAAGCTTCATGCACCAATAGGACCAATTTTCAACTGATATCGCGCTTTTAGCAGGAGATATAAATGCTAGAGTAGGCTGACTGACTTTGGGTGAAACGCATTTGGGTGATACTTTCTTACTAGATTCCTCTTGCTCTCAAAATGGCGAACGGCTGTTGGCTCTATGTTCTGACCACCGCCTATTCCTCGCCAGTACGAACTTCAGAGGCTCCAACTGCCGTTACGCCACTTGACGTCCACTCTTCTAGAACCAGCGACAAACGCAGATCGACCACATCGCTATAAGCCACAAATGGCGGGGTTGCATGCAAGACTTAATATAAGACTGGAGCAATACCCTCGAATCCTACCACGCGTTAGTTTGCACCGAGCTGTCCATGTGCTTCAGTAGGCATTTCAAACGCACGACGCAGTGGCGGTTAGACTGTATTAAGTTGTCTCAAACAGCATAATTAGCCGTCTCAGAACGCGCTTGCTGTAAAACTAGAACCAACCGTGCCTTATAACATCAGTGAGCGCTGGTCAAGAATGCTCTGCATTCTGCTGGTTTATTTGTGTTTTGACAGGTGTCGTGACACCCTGGATTTCTTCTGAGTCTCTGCGCCTTCTTGACGCACGTCGGTCACTTCCGACCGGCGGAGAGCATAACGTAACACGGCTTGTAGTAAGACGTGAACTTAACGTAAGCCCACGCAGGGATCGCGAAATCTGGTGGTCTAAAGGTGCATCATAAATTAAACGTGCTGCCGCCATGGGAAACTCCCGTAAGCTGTTTCATCTCACCCGAGTCGCTGGTAGGAAAACTTTGGGTGTGAACGAAACCATCTATGAAGCTGACGGTCCGCTTATTCATAATCAACAGCGACGTCTTGAACGTTGGGCGGAGCACTTCAAAGCGAAGTTTAGCTGGACACCAGCGACAGCTTCTCACACAGCTATTTCGGCGCACGTCCCATGGTCTGTATCAACAGACTCGCCTTCTGAGGCGGGAATCTGTAAGGAGATTAAAGCCTTGCGATGTCACAAAGCACCGGGCTTCGATGGCCTTCCTCCAGCTCTGTTTAGAAATGGTGGAACAAAGCTTGTTAGAGCACTCCAAACCCTGTTCTCTAAAGTTTAGAACACTGAGCAGGTCCCCTCCTCGTGTGTGGGGGGGGGGGAGTTGATTGTTGTCCCCATCTACCAAAAGTCCCCGCCCAATGATTGCGCCAATCATAGGGGTATAAGCCTGATCATCATCAGCATCATCCTCATCATCATCGTATAGCGAAATACAAGGAAACGAACTTCACTGATCGCTGCCAAACTCGCAATGCATATGCACTGGGGTTTGATGGACGGGTACTGCTAAGGTGTCCAGTCACTAAGCAGGAGAACGATTAGGGTTCTCAACCAAAGCCTTTAGTTCTGACAAGAACCTAACCGCAAGGCAGCGGATGAAGCGAAAAAGGAGGCCCATTTACTTGGATCAGTTACTCCTCCACCATTTTTTACCGACTGAAACGCGAATTCTAGTCGAATCCCCAACCTGGAGGACTAGGAGACTGAACTTCGTCCAACCTCTACCCTTCGACCTTCCAGGTATAATTAAATCCTCAGCTTGAAAAAAGCCATCTTGTGTAGCTTGTTAGGTCACAGAGGTGCACAAGCCATCACACCACGTCAAGGTGCAGTCTCGTCGTGATGGTCTGATCCCAATAGCATCAAAGCTGTTAGCTTCCATCATTCTTTGTAGTTTGTACACCATGCATTAGGAGCATGCTCGCGAGAAGCAGGCTGGATTTCGCACAGGTCTTGGCTGGTTCGATCAAATCTTCATCCTCCAACAGTTGCTACAGGACCGTCATGCTTACCATAGACCAACGATCATTTTGTTCTTAGACATTCACGCGGCCTTCGATTCTGTTGATAGGACCGCATTATGGAGCTGGTTTTTGAGGCATGGTGTACCAGAGAAGCATGTGTCGATCCTCAAAGAGTGGCATCGTCATACCTCAGGTCGGGTTCAGGCCTATGACCAGCTTTCACCACCTTTCGCCGTCTCCAGTGGAGTTCGACGAGGTTGCCCTATATCTCCATTCCTTTTCATCTTTGTCATAGAGGGCGTTACACAGAATGCTTTGTCCGGTTTAGTAAACGGTGGAGTCGAACTGCTCCCAGAGAAGAGAGTTCTTGACTTAGAATATGCCGATGACATCACCTTGTTGGGTGACAATGCACAGGTAGTTCAAGAAGCTTTACACCACTTGGTGGTAGAGGTATCCAGGTATGTTGCGTGCTTTGCACCATCAAAGTGCAAAGTGCTGCTTCAAGACTGGCAGGTGCCTGCACTCACCTTCTGTGGTGATCAGCTGGAAATGGTCGAGAGCTTTAAGTATCTCGGGTGTTTGGTCACAGCTAGTGTTGCTGTTCGGTAGGAGATCACCTGAGGCACCGTCATGATATCCGACTGTTCCTTAAGGGAAGGTTGTATATCGCCGCGGTCCGTAGTGTTCTGCTTCGCTGTTGCAAGACGTGACCTTTCCGAGCGCAGGATGATAATCGACTCGGTGTTCAACCACCGATGTCTCTGAAGCATTGCTCGTGTCTGGTGGGAACATCGGATGAGGAATGATGAGGTTCATCGATGTGTGTTGGGTGTGGATGATCGCTCTCTAACAGAAGCAATCGCTTTACACCGCTTCCGATGGTTTGGTCACGCATTGCGCATGCCTGTCCATCGGCTACCTTCTCGTGCTCTCTTTGTATGTGCCGGGCACGGCTGGAAGGAGCGTCGCGGCGGCCAGACCATGATATGGCGTAGAAGTATGAAATGGTGGGTACCGTGATAAACTTCAAATATAATTTTATATAATGAGGTGTTGGGCGTTGGTTGCAAACTGAGTTATCCATTGTTGTTCGTTCGTTCTATCCATTTATCATATTCTATTCTGTTAACGTTACCATTTGTTTGAACACTTTCAGCTATGGGTCAGTTATACCGCAGAATTGGTCTATCTTTAGAATGGTCTTGTCATGGTATTCCTTGGCTGTTGTTTGTCACCGTTTGGTTGGGTATGTTATGGCAAACCACCAAGATGGAACGGGGTGGCAATGATTCCCTCATCGCTCCAAGCTACCGCGCTCGTTCTTGGACTCTGGAACAGTGGAAAACGGGTCCCAATAGCTCTCTCTTCCCCAATCCGTGGACGCAAGCTATCTGCTTGCTCTCTGCACTGTTAATTGATTTATGTGTTGTCGCACTGCTAAAAATGTGTGTACGACGACCGAGACCGAAGGATGATATAATGTCTGATATGCGGCTCACTGTTCCCATCGATATGTGGTCTTTTCCGTCAGGTGAGTGGTTAAATCTCCGTTTCGGTCCAATCAGAAAGGATAGCCTTAGTAACTGTGATGTTTGCTTAAAATATAGTTTGATGAATTCAGATCCGTTTGTGTTTGTTTCAGTATTTTGAGGAGCGTAGCCACTAGGATGTATTAGGATGTATTATACAGCATTTGTTTTTCTCTAATATTGTCCGTTCTCCCCAGACAGCACCATGCGATTAAAGGAGTACCTATTCTATGTTATTCCTGAAGTACTGCGGATTAGCACTTTGCTATGTTTATCCCTGGGGGTTATGGCTATTCCGAATCGTGGTTGGGATAGGAGACTTGAACCAAAAAAGGACCTCGAAAGACACTTCGAAAGAATGTTTAATGGGTAGCCAGAAGAGAACAAGCCAACTCGTCGCACGAAAGGATAAGGTTGAGGTTGTAAAAACTTAAAACTGATGTAATGTTTTTGTTTCATTAGCAGTCTTTGGGCTCCCCCAAAGTGTACTACTTCACATTAACCGTCCCAGTTTTCAAAATCAATCTCGTTCGAGATACGAATAAAAGGTACAAATAAAAGGTAAAATTTCAATGAGGCATGTTTATGAATAACGAAACAAATCTCACATTTCTTATTGGTACCTGCTATTGTCACCGTCTGTTGCAGTTACCTCACCGGTCCGCTGTGCCATTCCACTCGATATGTGAGCATGGCGGAAACAGCATTTCACATTTTGATCAAAAAAGCACCTCAATCCTTTACGTTATACTGCGTCTTTTTAATTTTACATCGTCAAAAATCTCTCATGTGCTCACCCTACAGTTGAGTCTGGTATCTGTTTGCTGATCAAACTGGCAGCATTCATAGCTGAGTCTTCGTTTCGAATTCACGAATAGGTGTGTGTGTATGTGTGTCCGTGCGTGTTAAGCGACAGTTGTGATTGACAATCCGTATTCTCTCTGTCTCTCTCAGAATGTGACAATTTTTTTGAGAACGGATCTTTCGATGCACGATAATAAGGTCGTTTTTCTGTTCATCCATGTGTGTAAAGGGCATCCGTCTTCTTAGACAGTGGGGTGGGGGTGGGTGGGTTGGTTGTGCATTGTATTAACAATTTCCACTAGTTTGTTTTGAATGCTTTGACTCGCCCGTGCACTGTCGTCATTGTCATCGTTCAATGAAGCGCAGTATGGAGCGAGATTTACTGTTCGCTGCTGAGCTCACTGCATCAAGTAAGTGAAAATGAACGAAATGAATCACGACGAGACTGCGTCTTGACTTGATTTGATGGTTTGAGCACGTTTGTGACCCGACGAGCTAAATNGACTAATTGTACCTGGAAGATCCAGTCTAGGGGTCAGACGAGGTCCAGTTTCCTGGTCCTTCAAGTTGGGGTTTCGAATGGAATGGGTGTCTCAGTCGCTAGAAAGTGATGTAGGTGTAATTATTGATCCGAGTTAATGGGGCACCACTTCCTTTTAGGCTCTGCGTCGTCACAACTTCAGGCTCTGTTTTGGAATCCTGATCTTTCTCCTACTTAGTGGTTGGTTGATTAGGAAGATCGTAACCTTGAGTAAATCACGGACCTATCTTCTTCTTTTTTATAAAGATTATTGCACCGTGATTTGTTTGATACACAGTCTGAACTTAGGCGTGTGTGAAAACAGTGCTCCTCTATTGAAGGATATGGCAGTGAACCGATCGCAGTGGCGATCTTGATATCCTTTCTGATCAGACCAGAATGCTTGATAGGGTATGTATGCACCTTTCGATTGTGTACTGCGTTTTGAATATAAAGGTTCACTCCCCCCCTCAGAATTGGTTCAGTATCTGTCCGCTTTACACATTACCACTAACTTTTCATGCGTTACGATTTTGGTGGTAATCGGTAAAGTTCGCTTCATAGTATTTCGCTGTACGCTGCTACTGCTAATGATTTTTGATGATTCGTCCATAAGAGTCCAAGAGGCAGGAACTACAAATTGTTGTTGTAATAACTTCGGTAGGCATAAAGCCTACATTCTAATTAAAAATATACAAGCTGAAGAGAGGGTAAAAATTATAATAATAAAAAGGGTTAAATCCCAAAACTGTTAACGTAGTCTGCGAAAACCTGTTCTTTGTTAACTAAAATAAGTGATAACGAGGGTACCGTAGAGTTACAATGTATGTTTATTCGAGACGAAACAACAGTATTGTCATTTATAATTACTAGTACCGTGTTCAAAGTCTGTGTCTAACGGAAGGACAACCTCTCCCTTACTAAAGTCGTTGCGGCGGCAAACGAATGTGCATACAAGTTTCACAATGCTTCAGCTGTCAGGTATTTGTCCAGGCTTCTCAGAGCTGAAGTAAAAAGATAAAATGCATTATTCTCTGATCGAATTCTGACGACTGGAAGCAGCAAACACACGTGGCAAGGTATGAGACTTCTCTGTGAAAGAAAGAAGGTACGGCCGAAGCTGGATGTGAATGTTGATGATATTATTGTTGCATTTCCACGCATGCCATCGGACATTCTCCCTGCCCACTCGTCACACAATGTTTGTGCTCTGGAACCAGTCTCAAATTGTGATGTGATGAGCTTTTAAATAGTTTTTATTCGTCTTCTGCTGCAAACTCAGATGATTTACCTCCAGCCCTCTTCAAATTGGGTGCTGCTTCCATAGCTGGGGTGATCACATCCATTGTAAATGAATCTCTTAACACGTGTACTATCCCCGACTGTTGGAGGCCGGTCACAATCATACCAATCTCCAAAGCATCCAGATCTATCTTCTCCAAACGTCCCATAACGTTAATATCTTCAGCTCTTGAATTGAAAACGCCATCCTCAAACTCCTTCAGCAGTCTCTAAACATTCCCATCGATCCATTACATTTTGCTTACAAGCCTTATAAATCTACCTTGGACGCAGTCTTCACCCTTATTCATTTTATCACTAAGTTAAGTCTGTTCGTCCATTTTACTGACTACTCTTCAGTATTTGATTCCATTACTCAATCTAAGTTGTTACAAAAACTGGAATCGTCTAAATACCCCCAAGCTCTTCTTAGTTTGGCTATCCAACTATTTTAGTGGAGTACAACCCACTGGATTGGGGAAGGATTCATCTAAACCCTTAGTCAATAACTCCAGAGTTCTTCAAAGAGCTGTGCTATCCCCATACTTGTTTTCCACTTATGTTTGTGATATTCCCTGTGTTTCTCCTGCACGTATTTTGAAATATGAAGGTGACATCGTGCTGTGCCAAACCACTTCTTTCTCTGATCTACGATTCTTCACCGACAATCTGTCCGAATTCAGTCATTTTCCTCCTCTTCTGGGCTAACCTTAAACCTAAGTAAAAGTGTTGAGTGTTTATGTAGTTTCGCTTGCTCTCCATATCCGACAGGAAGCATAGTGATTAGTAATATTCTGTTATCCAGGGTGAACTCTGTCAAATATCTTGGTGTAACTATAGATAGCCATTTTCATTGGTTGATTCACATCCACAACTTCATTGGTAAACTGCGACGCCTATCATTTCAAATACGAAAGCTCAAGCAGTTTTGCGCATCCCAGTCAGTTATTTCTACTTTTGTTTATGTGTGTTTTCGCTATTTACTTTATTGTTCCCCAGTCATTTTTCTTGGTTTACTCGAAGAGGATTTCGCAGTCTTACACCACAGTCTAAATATTATTATCAGCATTTCTTCGATTCCTGTGAATGAGTTAGTTGTAAATCTTTCATAGTATCATAAAACTTCCTGTCTGTATTTGCGGAGAGGGTTCTCACAGATTTTGACTACCCATTGCATGCAGAACTGACACGTTGTCGTTCCCATCCCTCCACACGCTCCCAATTCTTCCAAGTTTCATCTGGAATTAACGTTTGCCGAAATTCACCTATACTCTATCTTGCACTTTTACTTGCAAAGAGGGGATAATAAGTGAAATTTGTCCTAACCTATGATTATTAAATGTCCTCATGTCTGTAAACATTCCCCCCCCGTTGAATATGTAGTTTGTGACGGTTGGCGTGTATGGTTTTCTAACTGAAATGTAAGCTCCAGTGCTTGCAAAAGCTATACATAATACACAATAGCTGGCGGATGGGAACAACAGGAAGTTAAATATGTGTCTATTAGATGTGTGGAGTCGATATGAATCTGGTTTGCAAACTTTTCACATGCATTCAGATGACAGGGTAGTCACCAACTCCTCCAGCGGAATTCAAGAGACGCGACTAATAACGGTCAGTCCACGTCAAAGTAGTTGAAAATTTTTCTTTAGGATATTGGAAAAAATAGTGATTCTGTATCGCACTTTTTTCGTCGGGTATGGTTACCACTGTTTGACCGGTGATGTTTTATGATAGAACGACGTGGCTGTTAAAGAGAGAACGATACACACGGATTGTCGGTTTTTGAGCATCACCGTGCACCGGAATTATACTAGTGTGATGAGACAAACAAACAAGCACTACCACGAGTAGGCCAAAAGTTTCAGATGGTCGCAGTCACACCTTGACGCAGGCACCTAATCCAATTAGGTCACGGGGAATGAGGCTTGTTACTTACATCAGTTGTGACTAAACCAGAAAATGACTGGATCGTATGAAAACTCTGAATTGGTTAAATAAGTCGCTTTGAAACTCTCGTGATCTATCTGATTGTGGCCTAGAGACAATGAATGAAATGAATATATCGGTCACAATGACACTTAGTCCCCTCCACTCAATTCCCGGGTTCAACCGCATTCTCTGCGTGCAACTGCTCTCTGCGGTTCACTCCCTGTTACTACTCCTTCATTGGTAGACCAAATCAGAGGCCGAAGGCTACAAAATAAAACCATGAGACGGAAGTTCAAGATTCGTATTTGTACAAACCCGGCTGAATTGAACACATTCTTCCTGCCTGGTGGCAATCAGTCATCTTACTGATTCACACGAAAGACAACAAATCTGTTTGTGAAAACCGCGGAGGAATTGATCTAATCAACATTGTGACTAAACTCCTCGTTGGCATTACACTTCTTCGATTTCGTGCCGCATGTGAGCAATGCACGCATGAGAATCAGATTGGTTTTAGATCTGATCGAGGTTTCATCAAGCGCATTTCCACCCGTTCATCAAATTCTGAAACTCAGACATTCTTTTCTCACACCCACCATTTCTATATTCATCGATCTGAAAACCACTCTCGACTCAATCAACCGCGCTACCTCTGCATGAATAGTGTGCCCGAGAAGGTGATTTCACTAGTACGATCTCTTTATGCCAATAGGCGAATCCAAGTACGAGCTTGCATCTCTTTTTCATCCGATTTCACCTGATAGAGACCTGTGTTTGTTAAGATTTCTCTCTCTCTTTCTCTCCTTTTCTGTTAAACTTTGTCATGAATCTGATTCTTGAAACAGTCCTTCCTGTCTTCTAGGTATGTGCTACTACCCTGTGGCTAGTGCTACTTGATATTATAGAAACGGGGCCGTTACGGTAGAAGGATCAAAACAAGTTGCCGGTTTTCCTCGTGCAAGGATTGTGGTATCGATATGCTTCCACGTAGAATAGATTGTCTGATTCGGATCTGGAGTATGACGTTGCGCTGCCAAGTGAAGACCCAGTTAAGTTCCAGGCATTTCTGGATAGTTTTTATTTTAGTGTGTTCGGCATGCGTTTTGCACTTTCAAAGTGTAAAGTGGACTGGGTGGACCCAGATCCGAGCTGTGTTCAATGTAAGGTCATCCGGCTGAATAATGAATCGTCTTTAACTTCTAATCTACTCCCACTTGCCCATCGCGGGGTAATTTTTTATTGCACACCTTTCTGTGATTCATAGCAAACGGAGTGAACCCCCATAGTTGCGTAGACCTGTAATTCACTTTTGGAAATCAGCCACCCAAGCTCCGGTACTTGGAATGGCGAACCACATAAGGCCCCCCCTAAGTTAAGTCTGTTATGAGCCGGACAACAGCACATTTGCCCACTACCAAATTTTGGCGGTGGGGTTCGTACCATACGGTCCAAAGTATGCTGTTGATAGCGACTAAACGACTGAACCATTTTTCTATTCTGTTACTATTTTCGTTTCTGCTCTTCTGAACTCGCTTCAGCGGCCCCCCTCCCGCTTTTTTCTCATTCGTCACGTTATCAGGTGAACAGTCTTCCTTATCAAGTTTCTGTCCCCCAGATGTCCGACCTCTCTCTTTCAGTCCTCCTTTTCCCCTAGGACTGCGTAATTGTGGGAGGATCTTCCCATTTCCGTATTTCCAACCTTTTCACAATCTTATTTTTTTCAAATCAGGATTAACAAATTGATTCTCACCTGAACGTTCCCCCCCCCCACACACACCTTTTCTCAGATCGTGTCATTGTGTATAGTGTTTACCCCTGTCAATTACCATGNAATTTTCAGAAATTGAGGAGACGCGACTAACGTATCACGTTTCCCCGGGGGCATATAAAAGTTAGCCAACGGCCCTAAGATCGCAACACGCTAGTCAGATCGGGTTCAAACAGAACCGTCCGTCTATCACCGGAACCTGTTAGGAGATCCGTATTCTGTTCTGTTGTATCCATATTCAGTTTTCACGGAAGGACGATCTCGATCAATGCTGTTGTCTGGTTTTCCATATTTCTGAATAATCTCTGTTTGATTCCACTCTTCTGTTCTCTGTTCCAGGTCACGCAACTCGTGCTTCTCTACTGTTCTGGCTTCTTCCACACTTTTTCGCTTTCTCCAACATAGGCATCGGTCTACTTGCCCTGTGGACACTGATAATCTGCTATTCTCGTTTTGCCATGCGTCGTCATCATGCTACGGACATCTTGGCCGGCAGCATCATTGGTTTCTTGGAATATCGACTAGTTTGGATGATTGACTGGATCTACGTCACACACACAGTGACAGAGCTCGTGTTTCCGGTACAACTACAAGAACTATGAATTCCTCCCCCCTCATTAAACTTCGATTGTTTAACTTTGCTGATTTGGGATGTGACTGTATGCAACAGTAACCGAAACGATTTGCTCGATTTCCATATCGTTTTTATAACTGTCATTCCCGTGAGTATGTTGCCCCAGAGAGTCATCTTTCTTTCTTTCTGTTTATCAGTCTATTTTTTCAAAAATAAACAACAAATAAATCTAGAGTTTCATTCGCGAAATGTTTCGTACTGTTGTGTACCATACAAAGTTAAAGAGTCACTCTCATAACACAGATACAAAGCGTTTACAATAAATTCAGTCAAAGTAACTACGCGTTGGACACAGTCCATGTCCGGGAGATACAAAACAGACATACTACTCAACCTCATCGGATTCACTGTGTGGGCGACAGATTTTTTCGTCCAAAAGGACCCCTATTATTTGTATTTCAAACTTGTTTAAATCCCTGCTGTGTGCCAATCAAATCACGGTACACAAATCTTGATGGTATAGAAGTGGTCCTCTGATTTGCTCGTGGGTGGGAGATACCGCTAGAATGCTTAAGCCAAAGTAGGGGAGTTTTCTTGCAAGATTTACAGCAGGAGTTCGCCCAGTCAAAGTTTGACCCGCAAGTCAGTGCTTCGGCAATCCACTGGCATCTAACTGGTTGAATCAGACGCATTTTGGGCGGAATCAAACGTCCAAGGTACATTATACAGACCCGTCGACCACAGCTAGATCCAGGAAAGTGTGGATTGGGTTTATCTGCTTCTCCTTGGTTCGTTTTTAATTGGGGTTTTTAGTTCACTGTATCCTCTGCCTTTGGCTGAAACAGACCGCTGTATGAAGTTGATGAAGTGAATTTTCTCATCACAAGTTTTTTGAGGCNGGGGGGGGGGGGGGGGTGGCGTTCCGCCAAGTGCAAAGGACGATAGACCCAATACCCCCATCCCGGACCATACTGATGTTCACGGCAGCGAACTCAACCGGGAGAATGAGAAGTTTCAGTAACTGCTAGTCTTGCCAGTGGTTGATTGGAATTCATCACCGGGTAGAACATTCCCGTCCGCACACGTACACATTTCGTGATTGGGCTAACAATGCGTTGGTATATCGGGGGGGAGGGATATAACTCAGTCGCCACATTCCAATCAATGGGCCTTCGCAACTCCCTGGTTAAAACGTTGAAATCCCACATCGGTATCAAGTTAACAGATGCAACTCGGGCTTCGAAGGTATCAATAGTTAGACATAAAACCTTTTGATCAATGGACTGTGATAATAATATCAATGATGATAATTGTAATAATCATAATCCGTTGATTTCATTTTATTAAGTATAAAATCGCCCAGAAAGAAACGGCATAGACTGCAGTCGTTTTGGCGCTGCCTGGCTCACGCATAGATTGCTCGATCAGATTCGCACTCAAAGCTCATTCGGTCTGCGATNACTATGACCGTACTTTACAACCGACTTGATTTTGCTGGTTGTAGAAGCTGAGGCTGATTTTCTTAGTTTTGCCGACCGCTATTCAGATTGAGTTATAGCACATTGTTCACCGTGGTGCTACTTTTTTATTCATCACCTCGGGCCTACTTCCTCCCCCCACACCCGTGTGTGGTAAAAAGACTTATTTGTAGACAAGTGGTGGACTCTCATTTGAGGGACCAACGGAGCTGCACACTACCGAGCGCATCTTCCGGTCGCGGATGATTGTGATCCGGTAACCATGAGTAGGTCATCCTTCCACTGAGCGAGGGGCCGCACATGGTTGGTATCGCGAACCGGGGACACTAAGCAACTTCCTAAATAAAATCTGGAGTGAAAATAAGTAAGGCCATCGTAATTCTCCCATCGCGTTACAGTGCAGTTGGTTGGTTGGTTGCGCAAGAGTTAAAGGTACGTGCGCAAAGATGAAGGTGGAATGATAGTGTTGACAATACTTTGTATTATTCTCCCTAAATTTCTCCACGAATCTGACCTATAGTCACAAAAGATATAATAACACGAAATCGGAGGAAAATCGGCACTCCTTTTTGGTTTTGACATTACAAAAAAGACGTCAAACAGAGGAGAATTGCCCACAGAGATAGGTCAACTAACGAGTCCGCACCTGTGCCTGGATACCCGATGCCCGACGAGATGTTGGCTGACAGGGTAAGGCAGTTCGGGAAGGCATGTACTATAGCTCTCTGTTCTCTCTTAAGAAGAAGTGCAGTGACTAAGTGTTTGTCTCGCTCAGGCCGGTCATGTATCTCATCTTACGTAAGTCTTTCCTACTGGTTTGGAGTACTTGGTCGCTATTGCTCGCCCAGTCGTTTGTGGTTCGTACTAATCTTTGGTTGTCTTGCATCTACTTTCTGATACAACACTTCTGCTTTATTTATTTTTGTCGCGTGATTAAATCGCTCACCGATTATCGAAATATAAAGCTGTGCTGTTGATCTCCACCCCAGCTTCCACGGTCCATGATTAATCAGGGTCGAATCGATTCACCGTGCAGGGGTCACAAAACATGTAAGCCGATTGTACTGCAAGAATAATTTGACTATGAGGAAATCTGACTGACGATTGACACTAACCGTGCTTGGTCCGTGGAGTATGAAAAGTAGTGGATTTGATTATAGTAAAAACAATACCTGACATGCAAAACACGAATTGAAAAGCTAGAAGCTTTTTGCAGCTGTAATGATATCGCTTCAGGTATATACAAAACATCGAATCACAGCATTGATTGAACTGGCTCTTAAAGAGCTGTCTATCCAAAAAACACCCGGTGTTGCAAACAAGGTTATTGTGATGAAAATACACTTCCTGGGTACAAGTATATAAATGAACTGACAAAAGATTGCCGGATACGCGTGCCTGACGAGCGGCAAGAACCGCGAAACCGGTCGTGTGCTTCCAGGGAAATTTTGTCCAGTCATTCACATACTAATTCTTATGATATACATATTCGTTACAATAACCTTGCTTGCATCACCGGGTGACTTTTGGATAGACAATGCGATTCACTGAGGAATAAAACGAACACGGTAGAAGAAAAGATAACCGCTTCACTTAAGTTCCTGAGGGATCAGAATATCATCTCCAAAGCAGCATACAAATAGCTGAGACCAACAGGTACCTCCATCCCTCGTCTTTACGGTTTACCTAAAGTTCATAATCCGGGTGTACCTCTAAGACCAATTTTGAACATGAGCGCTTCTCACCATTCGGTTGCCCAATGGCTTGTGGATGTTTTGGACCCTGTTCGCAGACAGATTTTACACTACAATCTGAAGGATACATTCCAATTTATGGAACTTATAGGCAAACGACGCACAGCTGGTTTGTCTCTGGCATCGTTAGATGTGACATCGTTGTTCACCAATGTTCCTTTGGGGGAAACAATAAACTATTTATGTGACTCCATCATGGTCAACGAGATAAACATCGGTATTCCATTGGCTAACTTGAAGGAGTTACTACTACGCTGTACCTTCAACGTTCATTTTAGCTTCGACGGAGAATTGTACAGGCAAACGGACGGAGTTGCAATGGGATCACCTCTGCGCCTACTTTTGGCTGACATATTCGTTGCAAAATTGGAAAACCAGGAACTCCGAGATACCATAGGAGGTTTACTATTCTATTGCCGTTACGTCGATGATCTTTTCATATTAGTTGACGAGAATATACCGTTGAAAACACTGACCAGCACATTTAACCAAGCTCACAACGCGCTCAGCTTTATGTCGGAAATGAAAATGGCCAACACGTTCCATTTTCTAGATGTTCATCTTACCAAGCACTTGGACGGAACAATTAGTAGAGCAGTCTACAGAAAACCCACATGGACAAGTCAGTATACTCATTTCGCCAGTTTTGTACCTTTGGGGCGTAATCAAAACCTTGTCCTATCCATATCTGCTCGTGTCAGAAATATATGTTCAGGAGAAAATCTGGAGTTAGAATTGAACCGGCTCAGGCAAGCCCTATTGAACAATGGCTATCCCGAGAGAGTTATTGAAAAGAATCTATGTGAGGGAGCCAAAAACAACGGTGACTACAGTAAGCCAAAGCAAATCTGTATACAAATGCGATTTGTTAACAAGACGCCTAGGTAAGTCGATCGCTCGAACGTTTCTTGCTGCCCGATTACGTACACAATTCATCAGCAGATCTTTGTTGTCATTGAATCTCAAAGATAAATTGCCTATCCTAACTTCCTCCATGTTGACCTATTCCTTTGTTTGCTCATGTTCGGCAGGCTACATAGGCAGGACGATCAGGCAGTTTTCTCAAAGAATCAGGGAACACAAACCGGCTTGGTTAAACACATGAACCACAAGGACCGTTTGGAGTGCAATCACGGCGCACCTCGTAGATACCGGACATCAGATAACTGAAGATGCGTTCAAAACTATCTACAAGGTACCCCCAGACCCCTCTGACAGCGCCATCTTGCGACAACAGAGGCGGTAGCAATACGGTTATTGCGACCAACTCTATGCTCACAAAAACAATTTGTTAAAGCCCTACAGCTACCCTAGCCGATCCCCGACACTGAACGTCAATTCACCCATGACGCTTCTCGTGACCCCTTGACCTAAGTGAGTGACTTCACCCTTCCTGTTTCATCACTCTTCCCCTCCCTCTTCTTTCTCCGTTTTCACGATTCCCCCTATTCTAAACCTTCGGATTAACATTTTTGAAGATGAATTTATCGAAAACGAGCTTGTTCGCTACTTGTGTTGTTCTGTCCATTCGATTAGTATTGAATGAATGAGCGCGTTTGCAAAATGTTCGGTTGACGGTTATAGGATCAGGATAGATGGATAGGGACATGGAGGGTAAAATTGTGTGAATCGGACATCATGTGGAAGGTGTTGGTCAAAAATGAAGAAAGTGGATATTGAATTGTGAAAAAAGACAGTGAATGTGGAAGGGGGAGAGATTGGAAAAGCTGTCACATGGAAACGAGGAACAATCACACTGATCGCCATGGTAACCGCAGCGCTTTAATCAGATTACT